TTTGAGCTATACCCCAAGAAGTGCAATCCGATTAAACAGCTTCATGTCCTGAGCTTCCTGAGGAAATGCAATCATTACATTTACAACGGCACTAGAACAAGTATGGATAACAACATGTTCCCGTCACCCCTATTAGCAGAGTTAGTGAATTGGAATTGTGTTTTTACCGTTACAGAAGCCGCCGTGAAACGCCTGTTCGCTCTCGCATAAATCTGACATGCAGGTATTCACAGCAGCCCAACAGTCGGGGGGTGCAGATGAAACTCTGATACTGGATATCTGAGGAATAACAATCCCTGAAATACAAGTGCATGACAATGATTTATTCTTCTTAAAAGCTGATTATATCTGGATTTATATCTTTAGCTTCATTAATGTTTCAAAATTGTCTCATACACTTAATACATGCAGGTTCAATACAATCATTCAATACACGTTTTACAATTTTCTTTTGGTTGACTGTATTGTACATGCATTAGAAACGATACAACTCACACTGCTAAGCTCTAGTTCTACACACAGTATCATTAACTTGGATTAAAGTCTGGTTTTAAAATGACATATTCCACAGTTGACTTAGACTCACCGAGGATGACCGCAGCTTCCACATGTGTCAGTTGCATGATAACCGCTGTGAAGCTGTGACTTGACACTGGCGCCCTCCTGCAGCTGGTCTGTGCCTCTCATCTGTGTTGGGAGATGAAAGCTGGGACACACCACCCAGAGTCAAGAGGATGTAACACATCTACTGGAGGCCCTGCCCCGCTCAGTGTAATGACATGACACACAGCCGGTTCACAAACACAACAGACCTGACCTAAACAAATATATATATATATATATACCAACATAATCATAGTGTTTTACAGGTCTTATTTTTCTAATGTCTAATGATATCACTCTGTGACACTGTATTTCGTTAAAGGTATAACCATTTTTCCTGCTGATGGCTTAGGAAGTTGGGGTTAAAGGTATAGTTCACCGTCAAAAACTCACCACTATGCCGACGGAGGGGCGGGTGAAGTGTCTGGAAGCCCCTGACATTCAAATTCGACTAGAACGGCGTCATTTACCTCGTGTTTTAAGCCCAAAAGTTCGATACCAGAAGTAGCAATGCTAGTGGATGCTAATGCTCAACCCACACATACCCTTGTAGCCAGAGCTTGTGTGCAGTGTAGGCGGTGCTACCGGTGTGTGCAGGCGAACGTGAAGGCAGCACCAGAGGCAGATAACAGAGGACGTTAAGGCTTAAAACATGGTGTAAATGATGCTGTTTCGGGTCAGTTGTCGACATGCTGATTATAAAGCTGGATCGTATGCTGGCTACATTCAAGTCAACCTAACCACTGAAACCTTTTGCAGAAAGCTTGTGGCATATGGGCTCTCGACCATGATGTCATGGCAGTCTCCTTTACTTTAAGGGTATAAAGCTTGAGGGTACAGTATTCATTGGTTTGGACTAACGCAATCAGCCATTCTCTGCTCATAGCCACAGGCAATAGGCTGCTTTGCTGCTATTCTGGAGTTTCCTGATTTAATGTCTATCAGCTCGATGTCTTACTTTTCTTTTCTTTACCTTTAGTCTCACTCGCTCAGCTCAACCTGCTTCTAGTCACAGATTGTACCTGTTCACCGTGACAAAGCTCTAACAACCAATGCTACGCTAACTTGTCCTACTCAGCACCAAACTCTGACAAAGTGAGCAGGAAGCAGGTGAACATAGTGTGACTAGAGTGCCTGTGTTTTTCTCCCAGTAGTAAACGGAGAACAAAAGCATCTGCAAAGGTGTGAATACTGGACTTTAGTTCCTCTGGTTGCCGGAAACATGATTTCAAATGAATGATAATGTTCCTCCAATGTTAATGTTACCAAATGTGTGGTTTTGTGCAGCCCACAGATGAAAGACAACAATATAGGCAGATATTTTTTTTTTTTATTGTTTTGAAGGAATACAGACATAATCAGAAATAAACTCACAACTAAACATTCCAATTTGAAAGCTCACAATAGAACAGAAACACAGAAAAGGTCGAGCCAAGGACACATGAAGATGAAGCTCTGATTGGTGATGGTGGATTCACATCAAAAAGTGTTATGAATAAATAAATGACTCTATTGAGGCTTTTTGTGTTATTTCAGTTTGAGGTTCACATGATTTAAGCGGAATACAATTCTATAGCCATTGATTGGATGAAACCTTTGTTCCTATTGCAAAAATACAAAATTGCATGTTGGTTGTGCTGAAAATGTATCCTCTTTCTGTTAAGCTACTGATATAAAACTAGAACTGACTCAAATTGTTAAATTAGCATTATCACAATGTTTAATAAAGAAACTCAGAAATACACGTTTCATTGTAATACAGCATTCTAACTTGCGTTTAGCTAACAAACAAACAAAAAAGCTTTGGGTGCTTTCGAGAACAAATACAAAAAAAATAGAAATACATTGAGGTTTCACAAAATGTTGACAAAGTATTGACGAACAAGATAAATGATCCTCATAAATGATCATTAAATATAAAGTCTCTACAGCTCTGTTGCCTCTATGCACATTAGCTGGAACAAATGCATCACAACACAATGTGCAGACATGTCACCACAGCTCATCACTGCTGTTTAAAAGCATTTGAATTTGTTTTGTTCACAGATAATAGATGATTTTACACAGATTTAAATGGGACATTTTATGCTTATCATTGTTTTGCAACGTCACATTACACATAATTCCATATTAAATGTGGCCAAAACTCCATATAATGAGGTACAGTAAACATATGTTAAACTAATCCACACGAAGCAGAACCTCAGAAGTTGCACTTCTTCGCAAATCTTGTTCTAATTAAATATAAACATGAACCTTAAATGTTCAATTAAAATTAAAAATAACATTGAACTGTGTAAGATCAAAAGTAAGCTGAAGGCTAATTCATATGCTCAAAACCCACTCACTTCACTGTTAATCAATGCTAAGTGAATCTTATATGACATAAGTCATTTGTCGAGCACATTCAAAATATGCAGCAAATATTAGTCATGGTGCACATTGAAGTAATATTACTCAAATAAACAAAAGGAATACAGACATCAATCTCATGGCAAATTTAAGTAAAGTTAAAAACACATTTAAATGAACAAAACATTTTAGTTTTTAGAAAGACTTGAGTTGAAAAAATGGGAGTAAAGGCCAACGCATTGCATTGTTGATGAAGGACACTGTTAGAAAAAAAACATTTTTATAAGATCCCACATCCAAGAATCAAGAATCTTGTCAAAACGTCAGGCATGCGAGCAAAGCTTGCTGATGTAAATGTCGGATTAATCTTTGAAATTCAATCGCTCATAGATATAGATCGTTTCTTTTATTCTCATTCTCATTGGGCCTCTTTCAATTAAGTTCAAAACCTGAAGCTTTTAGACAACTTCATTTCTGACTCTGCTCAATATTGCATATGCAGGGTTGCTACCTGCAAATGCATCCAAGAAATTATGAGAGTAATATATTATTGTGTAATAAAATATACTAAAGTGTATGTGCTTTTATTTCTTCCTTTTAGAAGAAGCAGAGGAAGAAGAAGGAGAAGAAATTATTATTTTTAGCAGAGTTCCTTGTTAAAACAAAGAAGCTTGAGGTACATTCACTGAATGCCAAATCAAAGGAGCCTGTTCAAAATATGTCTCATTTAAAGAAACATGCTGTAAACTTTTACTCTCAGTTGAAGATACAAACGTCGATATCGGCCTCTCAAAAATAAATCAAGCTGTGATGTTATTTTTCTATAAGAAGTAAGTGGTTTGCAGTTGAAATATTTAAATATCATTTACAGGCCTCAAGCAAACAAATGTAAATGTTGCTGACCTGGAATTGACTGAATTTGATAATCAGTTGAAGATACAAACGTCGATATCGGCCTCTCAAAAATAAATCAAGCTGTGATGTTATTTTTCTATAAGAAGTAAGTGGTTTGCAGTTGAAANACACACACACACACACACACACAGACCAACATTTGTGTGAACGGAGATGAGTCTTAATGTGAAGTGAAAACTTTCAGTCTAATTTTAGCTTTTTTAATTAAAAACTGAAAAGTAGAGTGACGTGTGTGGCAGGTGGTTTTCAAAATAAAAGCTCCGTGGTGTCACTTTTAAATGAGCTGCAGTTCAGATTTACACAAATCATATCACAAACATATAAATTCACTGTCAGCTGATCAGTTATTAGTTCATTGGTTGTTTATTATTTTCATTCCATGTTTCAAAGTGCAGCTTACTATTGTTTTGTTAGTTCTTTTTTTATATTCCCATGACACCCACTGTTTTTCTGTCAGTACAGCTGCTGGGCTGTGCAGCTGTCAGCAGAGGTGACGGATGCATTTCAAGCTGGATCTTATCGGCCGGATGTCGCTTCTCCCCCGCTGATGAAAAATTCAACCGTTCTTCAGAACAGAGGAGAAGTTTTTTATTTTCTGATTTATAACGTTAAAAACTTAATTTCACATTGGTGCTGGACATACAGTAGTATAGTGTGCACCTGCAAAAAAGAAAACATAATAAAATGTATGTTTTAATTGATATTCATGATGTTTGGCATTATGGCATCATTTGCATACCATTAATGCAGCTTTATGGACATTTACACTGAAAACTGAAGATGGACGTGTGCTCATTAAGGAGGAAAATTACAAATCTGAGCCATTATACCACCTATTCTCTAAAACACCTGCTCTTTTATTGTTGTAAACAACCATGATCTCCTGATCTGCAACACTGATTCTGGTGACTGAACTAACTATAACAATAAAAACAAACAAGAGCCTGCACACTTATGCCACTCTTTTCCACAGAAAATCGATTGAATAAACTTACTACATACAAAACATTTACAAAGATATTTTTGTGCAACCAAAATCATGTCAGTTGGCTGAATATCCTATATAACAGTAAAAATTAAATAATAACCATCCAAATGGTTTATGTGAACTACAATGTCCTTTGTTCCTGATCACGTTAAAGAAAAGAGAGATTTCAGTTTCCATAAAGCATGAAATTAACAGTTTGGAGACTGATTATTCTCTTTTCAGAGGCTTGTTCATCTTTAGCCTTTGAACCTTGTTAAGAACCGTCCCCTTACCTGGATTATAAGACTACACTATCTGATCTGAAATGCGTGACACACTGTCCATGTTGTTGACTTGAGTGGACAGAGATTTTCGGCTATCTGTGCTCATTCTGGTCCGTATCCTCTGTGTTTGATTTTGGTCTTGACCATAACAATGGCAAGAAAATGCTGCTTTGAACTCCCCACGGAACTTCCCTGAAAGAAAAGATGATAACCATGAGTCAATTTTATCATATTTACATACAGCATTTTTCATAGGCATTTATAAGCAATTAAAGTTAAGATTGGATTCATTATAAATATGTCATTTTTCATTGCTGCTTTATTTTTGCACGTGATAACTAACAGCGGATGGTTGAGTGGTTTGTCACGTCCACTGGGTTTTGATGGTGTTTTGATTCAGCTCAAGAGCTGTACTGTGTGAGTGATGGACAATGTGCTACGTGTAGAAAGAGCTGAATGAATGTGTGAATGTGATCTGTACTGTAAAACACTTGGTCATGATGACTAGAATTTCCATTTACATGCATAAGTCATTATTAAGATCCATAAAGATCTAATTGTATCTTTATTATATGTGACATCCATATATAAAACATATTATCAGATGAGGAATTTAAAGCAGTGACTGTGCACTGGAAGACAGAAATTAGCTCATACAACTGGTCTGAGTGATGAGGAATATTATAAACCTACCGCTTAGGAAATTGTAGATGATGGGATTTGCTGCACTATTGGCATAGATGAGCCAGTGTGAGAAAGTGAACCACGCGTACACTGTCTCTCGATCATTTGTGTTCTTGAAAGTCCCAAAGACTCTGCAGGTACAAAGTAGGACAAGATATTAGCTAAAGATGACTGAGTTTTTTCTTTTAATTCAATATACATGACTCTGCCAAGGGGCAGGCTCATAATGAAAACAGAAATCCATCCAGTGCTCTCTCCTCTGATCCCTGAAGCAGCAGAGCCTGGGAGATTATTACCTTTTCATGACATTGAGCACGCTGATGGGCAGGTAGCACAGGGCGAAAACAAACAGCACCACCATCAGCATCCGAGCTGTCTTGCGTCGAGCTCTGACCTGTTTGATCTCCGCACAAACCGTGCTGGTCCTGACCCTGACAGGCTCTCCGGGGCCCGGCACTGGAGCCGAGCACTGGATGGACCTCCACTTCCTCTGCAATACTGATGTGCTCCCAGGAATCTGTTGATAAAACATGCACATTCTTCAGGCAGCTGTAAACATGGAGGTGCTTCAGCTCAGTGTGAGCAATTAGTCTGATGCATCACATAAAGCGCTGGAAATACACACCTGCTGACACCACAGCTTGTGACATATCTGGATATACGCCAGGACCATGAGACATAATGGTGCAAAGTAGGTGACGATGAAGAAACAGGTGTGATAGACCTTCGGGTAGATCTCAGCTGTTGGAAAATAAGTAAATCATTGTTATAATCAGTTTGAAAAGAACTCTGCATGATCTCTCACTGAGATTCATCCTATCAGTTACTACTATGCCTGTTCCCCACACAAAAACATTGACATTTAGTGGCAGAGTGATTTTTTTCAAGATTAAAACTATGTATGTGTAGCCTGTTATGAATTTGAAGAGGAGGAATAACCAATGAGTCTGGTAAATGTAAGAATATCTGGTTAATGTAATGCTAGCTGCAATATGGCTCTCCAGCCCCCTGCCTGTATGGACCTCAGCAAACATGAACCTAACTCTCATAGATCATTAGAATTGATGCATTGCCAATCAAGAGTATGTGAGAAGACTCCTCTTGACTGTTTGAGACTGGGTCATGAATAAATCATGTGACTGTGATTACGGACTCTGAACCTTTTTTCAATCTGACCTTTGTTTGAGTACAACACGAAAACACAAAAATAACAGAGTTTGACAGGTCAATTGTTGTATTGAGTTAATGTCAGGGTGATATTTATTTTATTAGGAAGTGCGACAAGTTAGTAGAGCACACTTTTTAATTTAGTTTAGTAAATTCATTGTCTATATTCAAAAAATAAACTGAAATTAAGGCTTTGAATGGGAAAGGATTCAAAGCGTTTTTAATGATTTAAATGTTGTGGGTTTTACATTGTTAGTTTTATTATCATCAATAAATACAAGCTGTGATAATATTGTCAGTCACCTGCAAAGTAGTCTTAATCTGTTTCTCCTCAGAGAAGCACTGGGGAGAATCTGTGGCCAACTAATGACATTTTTAAAGAAAACAGAGAGAATTTCATTATTTAGTTTGAGGGTGTTTTTTCTTCCTTCTGTCTGCCTGCCAATCATCTGATCCACACTCCAGTCCAATAGGTGGCGCTAATGCACCTGTAAACTGGTTTACCAACTGCCATCAAACCCATAAGAAGAAGTCAACTAGCCTGAGATCTACTGCTAATGTCTCCACTCACATGTCGATGTATTTGACTGACTGGAAACAAACACTAGTCGTCCCTCAAGCGGTCACTTCTCAGGTAGGTCACTGCTTCAGTTGTCTTGTTTGCAAACATGCTCAGGATGTTGACAAAGTGTTTGTGCGTTGAGTTTTGTTGAGTGTGGCGGTGTTAGTCTACAGCACAGGTGTGTGTCGGCCATGTTGTGTCTTTTTCACATTTATAAATATGATATAAATTGACTTCTTAATTGGATATTTAGCGATAGCAGTGAGTTATGTGATATATTTTAAACTGGTCAATGTTAAGTATTTTGTTCACTGACCTTTTCTGGCATGTGTCTCTCAGCAAATCTAGTTTTCAGAGGTATTAAATGGAAAGCCTGCCTGAAATACTAAAACCAAACGAAAGCAAGAGGTTGAAAAGCTTTTTCTCTTTGCAAGGTTTTCCTTCTTTGAGGTCTGTTATCACAGTGACACTCTCTGGCTGATCAGAATGTCATTTATTCTCCTGTTTTAGGCCTTATCATAATTCTAATATCAAACGCCAGCGAAATGGCATCAGATGTGTACAAGGAATTCAGCTGATAGAATGATTAATGCTCTGCTGAGGGTTGCATCTCTGACGGAGGCACAGCGAAGTTACTGGTTTAAGATTTGTGAATGTGGAACAGTGTTTCTATGTATTCAAGTAGGATTTGTGAATACTAACCTCCCCAGTGTTCATCACACACCGTGAACAGGCTGGTCTTGTTTGTGAGTTCAGGCAGCAAGCTGCTGCACTCCATCACAATAGCCTGTGGGATCATGATGATGCATGAAACAACCCAGATAACAACGATACTCTTGCGAGCCCTCTTGGCAGTGCTCTTGAACATCAGTGGGTGGCAGATAGCGTACCAACGGTCCAGGGCTATGCAACTCAGCGTTAGGACCGACACAGACACAGAGATGGTCTGGAAAAAAGGAAATAAATGCCAGTTTTACAGACCAAACTATTTTGGGGAGGGTATTTAAAATCACACCTTAAATCAAAGCCTACACACCTGCTTAGCCATTAAAGCTGGGAATTTTATCGACCTTTGTTTGTAGAAAATAACCTATGGACGGATATTTAATGAAAATAGGTGATAATTGTACTTGGGAGATTATATCTAGATGATTAACTTTTGGAGCTAATATGTCAAAGGTCAGGTTAATATAAATTTGAATAACACATTCCCAAGAAGTAAAATAATTATGGTTTAGGAGCACAACCTAAAGCTTGTATTGATCAGAGCATACACTGTATCACATCATATGATAAGTGACATCATGAAGAAGTCCCAATGAAGTCAGAAATAAACGCCATTCATAGTTCCACAATGCATTATTCAAGGCATCTTAACCTGCAGGAATAGACATGACCCAAGTTGGTTGGACTCTTTACAAGGTGTTTTAGGTGTGCAGTCCAACATGTTGAATCTCACCTTGACTATTAACATCAAGGTAGACATTGTGATGGTGAATGTAGCACCACAATGACCAGCTATGTGTGTGTTTTTTTGTTTTTTTTTTAACTTACAAAGCCGTTCAGAATGATTCATAATCACCACAACACAATGGCTGCACTTGTTTTCACAGTACAGGACTGAACCTCTGTGGAGGTCAAGCATAGACTGAGTTTGTCCAGTGCTACAGAATAATAATGACCAAATAGCAATCACACCATTATCCACCAGCCCCTGCAAAATCCCAGATAAGTGTGAGTGCATCAGGGTTCAGCTAGAATGGCAGTGTGCTCAACTACCATCCTATCTGCTTCTTCCTCATCACCTTGATGGACAGCCAGTCTGCTGTCACCACTGTAATTGTCTCGCTCCGTGTAGACTTTGGGGAAGCAGAGTCATACCAGACTGAGTCAGATTGCAATCATTGATCTGTGAATGAGGAACCTTGATTCCTTAGACTCTTCCTGAGTTGAAGTCATAGGTTGAAATGCTCTTATCCAGCTCCAGCACGTTGCACATGCTTATCTCAATTTCAATGCAGTTTGATGGGGGGGTTGGGGGTGGTGGGGTGGTGTGGGGGGGTCTTGTAGGGTCACATCCTTTGGGAAATAACAGCTCAGTTCTATCACTTTGAAATGCCTAGCTTAAGGATGCCTATGGTTGACTGAATCACGTTTGCTGAGTATTGTCCTTCATTTAAAAGGCCTAAATAATGGGAGGGTGTAATTGCCCTGTAGGTGGAGAAAGTCCTCACATGAATGTTCTCTGCCTGACAGAAAATCAATAGCACATCAACAGATATTTCGAGTGTGATGTGGCGGAGAAAAATCCAGTAAGACACTGAAAACTATGCAAACATAAAAGATTAAACCATTCTGCAGGCTCACGTAGTACACACCACAGGGTGATGCCATTTAAGATATAACAAAAAGGTCACTTCACTGCAGTCAGTCTGAAGTCAGACTGTGATCTTTTTATTATGTTGGCACAAATAAGGATAAGTCTATTGATTTGAATTCATATATTATTTGTACACTCAAGAAATGGCATGAAAAGACTAATACTAACAATTAACTGATCCAAGTTTGATATAGTGGATTCCCCTGTGCCATTGTTGAACAAAAAACGAGACACACACATAAACACACACACACACACACACACGCACACACATCCTGAGAACTGCAGCACATCGCTTTTTCACATAAATTCTTTATTTTTTGAATTGTTTGATCTCTTCACAGAAAGGCTATGAAAGTTCGAAAATGCGTTTTCGAACTTCGTTTGTTTGTGCCATTAAATGGAATTTGGTGACAATTAGAGACAGATGGATACAACCTGGAATATCATTTATTTCTCAAAGCATGAGTTCTAAAGATGAGAACTTTGCCTTTGGAACAGAGGGTTCAAATGTTTTAGTGAATGCCAGTCTTTGCTCTTTTATTCAGTTCATTTTCTCCTCCATGCAAAGAACTGTAGAGGAGGCTGCACAAGAGCCAAGAGCTCCAACCTGGCTGATTACAAAGACACGTTAGGAGCTTAAATATTATATAACAGAAAAAAGTATATGCATGTTCTTAACCATAACTTCCTAAAACAACTATATCTAATTATTTTATATATGGATATAAAATAATGGACACACACATTAGCATACACATACTGAATTTCAAGTGTTGACTATGAAATCTTTGTGCAATACTGCACCAATTACTAAACTTTTTTTTAAAATAAAATTGGCAAATCAATTTCATAAGAATATCATAAATAAAACAGAATAAAATCTATTTCACTCATTGAAAATGTCTTCACCTTAAGGCCCAAGCTTTAGTCTGACTGTGATTAGAGTCACAAAGTCTCCTGAATGGACCTTGTGGTGAATTGTTACATTTACTAAATGGAGAGATTGATGGGTTTTTTTTAAATATGTGCACTCATGTTTACACTTTATGTTTCTTAATTTAAGTTCTGTATATTTGGTTGCATTTATAATACAATTCATGGTTCATCTGAAAAATATCAAGCCTTAATTACATTTCTCTGACATAAGGGTTTGTAAAATATTATTTTAATATATACATGTATATCAGCCAAATTGTGAGCAGAATAATTGTCGTCCTTATTATTAGCATCAGCCCCCAAAAATCACTGTTGGTTCTCCTACACACCTGTAATGAGGGTCAGGCATGATTCAGTGTGTTGCAATATGCAACTTCACCACTATGTTCCTAAATCTTGCACTGAACCTTTAACTAGGAAAAAGTATAAAATAATTGTTTTAAGATAATTGGAACCATCTGTTGTGTGAATTAAAATTTTTAACCACTGAATAAGTTGCTATCTTAAGACATTCCATCTTGTTTACTAGATATTGCTAAATATTGCATTCACTCACTGTGGACCCTGGACTAAATCTGTGCTTTTCCAACAAATCCTTATTAATTTATGGCAGAGTCTCCTCTGATTATTTCTCTATTTCTTTCAGGAATCATAATGCCGTTGGCTTCACAATCTAGTACAGCACTGCAGAGGGAGTTTGCAGATGGTGAAAACTCAGAGCTAAGTTATTGAGGATGACGAGGCAATACAGTACTGGGGCATGGAAATACAACCACATTAAATGTTGATAGAACTGAAACAAAAAAAGGTCTCTGGCTTCATAAAGGCATCAAATAACAGTTACAGAGCAGCAGCAAAGAACAGAGCAGAATGTGACCATGACAATCAAATTCAAATTGATTTCTAATCCTGTACCATAAGGTGTGATAAGTGAGCCAGCAGATAGCGAAGCACAAGATTTCAAACATTGATTTGTCTGGAATAAATTCAGCTCATGTAATCAATTTGGTTTTACAGCTGCTTCCATTCAGAATATCCTTTACATCAGACATGTTCAGAACCACAGTCTGTTGCATGGTGGATGTCACATTCGCTTTGACATACAGCATATAGGTATATAGGCTTTGTGTGGAGTAGTGTAGGGTTTCCATTCACACTCAGTGAGAATGTACAAACCAATGTGTTTGACAGTGTTATATGAATTGGATGATTTTCTTTCTGCAGCTGGAGGACGGGAGAGGTTGTGGGAAGATGCTGATAAAAATGTATTTAAAAAAATGTTGGAGGTAAAAGTGTTGCCCAAGGTGTTAAATAACCAAAGGATACCATCAAAGGTTTTACTATCTGCACAGCTCATGGGATATGTATAAAGTGTTTCTTTTACCCTCTGAAAAATGTCAATTATAGAAAGGGTGGAGTGGTTTATATGTGGTGAAGATTTTCTAATATCCCAAGTGGAAAAGATGTCAGGGTTGATATCTCACCTGCAGATAAGGCACAACTTTGCAGAGGGTGTTTCCAAAGAACCATGTCTCTGTGATGTCCACCACGAGACTGGCAGGCAGGCAGATGATGGTGACCAAGACATCGGCAAAGGAAAGATTCACAATGAAATAGTTGGTGACGGTGCGCATGTGCCGGTTCTTCCACACTGCAAAACAAACTGAAAATGGTGCACAATCAAAGACAGAAAGAATCAATAAAGGGAAATATTTATCATGTTGGTCCAGGATGTTTTTGAATGATGAATTTCAACATTTACTCAGTCACATGAAATATAAATGGTGAGATGAGTAGGTATCAGATAATTCATTTAAGCGGCTCACAACAAGGACAGAGATTAAAATGTCAGCTGCTTTCTACTTCATGTTAACCATAGATGTGTCTCCACTTTCTCCCACTATCGACAAATAAAATATCCAGATAAGAATGCTGCCATCTTGCGCATTTGACGGCAAGGTCTGCACAGTAGCAAGATGGAGGGGATAGAGTCGGTTGTTAACGTTGCTAGGCAGGCTCGACCTGACTCAGTCTCAGCTTCCAATCATGATGTTTCACCCTGTTTTAATGGCATCAAATTACCTATATGACCTATACTGCATCCAGCCACCAGGTAGCGATCAAGACGTTTTGGCTCCATACTGTCATGTCGTCCATCATTATTTACAGTCTAGTTACACTCTATGTAGCTTACTACTGATGTCATTTCAATCAATTCACTTGATCCAGATTTTTTTTGATCTGCACCAAATTCCACACACTAAATATCCGTCTCCCAAAACGTGCCTGAATTGTGTAATCATGAGCCATGAATTATTGTTGCAGAAATCAATGAAAAAAAAGCCATATCTCACAGTGTTAAATAATGTATTAAACCCCATACCAAATCCAACCACGTTTAATCATAATCCTTCCATTATGTTTAGCGTAACCCTGCTATAAATACAAGCTGCAGATGAAAAGGTAACCTCCTTGGTGGAAGTAATGATTTTGTTCATTAAAACCTGAGATCGGGTCCTATCAGTTGTAATAAGTCTGCTTAGGTAACTCTGACAATCAAAACAGCAGAGGCAGTGTGTGTGTGTGTGTGTGTGTGTGTGTGTGTGTGT